CCGCCGAAAATCGTCGCTTCATTCTCGATCGGCTAGATCGTCGCGCGATTGAACGCGCGCCGTTCGATGAAACGCCACTTACGTTATGAAAAAACGCGTCCGCTGGCTTGGATACGTCATTATCACCTGTAAACAAAGGAAAGTGTACGGTCAGGGTACAACGAACTCTGATGGGCCTTTTTTCCGATGTATTTTTCGACGGATTCTTTCGCGCGGAGGGTCGCAGGCGCGCGCGTCGCGTGCCGCTTTATACGAGCGTTTTTTTCGGCGGATCGATCCAGATCGTTGATCCCTTCGCCGCTCGAAATTCGACCGCTGTGTCGGGGTCTCTTGCCCGCGGCTCGCGCTTTACGTGGAAAAATAGAGTTTAGCAAACGGGAATCGAATTCCGTTTCGAATTCCGTCCAATCGCGGATTCGTAATCGCGCGTCAACCGTCGTCGCCGGCCGGCGCGAAAATGGCGGCGGCACGACGAGCCGACGAGCTCCCCTCGAGGTGTTCACCGGCTGTTTACCCCGCTGCAAGACGCCGAGACGGGGATCGCGAATTTCGGATTTAACCTTTTAGGCACGACGCGCCACTATAGTGACTTCCGCGGATGTCATCTTTCGGAACGACACGCCACTATAGTGGCTTTCGCGGATGTCATCTCTCTGGACGACGCGCTTGCTCTAGTAGCTCACTCGCTCATCGTTTGAACCCAATAATCGTCTTCATACGCATCGTTTCACGCTTCTTTTGTCTTCGCATCGATTTACAACAGTCAACAGGGTGTCCCAAAAATGTCTCGCAATTCGGAAACGGCGGGTTCCTCGGATCATTCGAAGCAACTTCTTCCGTTACAAAAATGCTCTCCGAGGCACCGTTAACGAGTTATCAACGAAAAACAGTGACCAATAAGAATCGAGTACGGCTGACGCGAGGCGGCCCAGCCAACCAGCGCGCGAAGCCCAGTTCCGCTCATCGGCTCGATCGCCTCGCGTCAGCCGAGCTCGCCTCTCATTGGTCACGGTTTGTCGTTGATAACTCGTTAACGGTGCCTCGAAGAAAATTTTTGTAAAGGAAAAAGTTGCTTCAAACGGCCCGAGGAACCCGCCACTTTCCGATTGCGAGACATTCTTGGGACATCCTGTATATACAGACAGAATATACAGTATCAGACTCTGCCGTCCAGAGAAATAGCCTCGCGCAGAAAATTCAGCCGTACCTAAAAGGTTAAATCGTACAACGCGGCGTAGAGAGAGAGAGAGCCCGTCGGCCGGGGCCCCCCTATCAAAATAAACGGTTAGGAGGATCGCAGCCGTAGAGCCGTCGTTTGACAGTAGCCGCTCTAATTCCGTTTACAAACAGCCGGAGGCGAATCTATTTAAATCGTAATCCGACGTTTCGCGTTGGCTTTCCAGACCGCCGCCAGGCGCGAGCAGCGCTCGCGATGTGCGTGTAAACGCGGCCAGAGGTCAAACCCGGCCGACGACGACGACGACGACGGCTAGCAGAAAGAGAGAGAGAGAGAGAGAGAGTGAGAGCAATCGAAGCACAACCGTTCAGCGGCCGCGGGCTCACCTAACAGCATCTGCTCCAATTTTCGGCGATCGACGCGAAAACGGTCCTGGTGCAGCTCGTCCGGATTCGTGATGCCCAGCACAGCCGCGATGTCCCTCAGCTCCTCGCCGGATTTGCCGGACAGGCTCGTCGCCGCGGTGCCCTCCGACGTCTCCGACATCGTCTCCGTCGCTCGTCGCTCGTTCTGTATCACCTCGTCGGGTCTCATCTTGATTTCGTTTCGGTGGCGGCGGTGTCGTCACCCCTTCGATACGATACGATTCTCTGCGAAAAACAGAACGGTCGCGCTGATCAGCTCGATTGGAATTCGCTCGATCGAAAGCGATCGAAACGACGATCGAGGATGGATGGCCGCGCGCGACGATGGAGAGGGCCGATTACGGTGCATCCGCGCGATCACGTGGAGGGTTGAAAACGATCTCGATCGCCGCGCTATTTGCTCCGCTCGCGCGCTATCAATCTCTTTCTTCCTTTCTCTCTCTCTCTCTCTCTTATTCGTTCTCTCTTTCACTCGCTCTCTCTCTCTCTCTCTTACTCGTTCTCTCTTTCTCTCTCTCTTTTTCTCTCTTTCTCTCTCTCTCTCTCTCTCTCTCTCTCTCTCTCTCTCTCTCGCCCGCTTTCCCACTCACGTTTTCGTCTCGGTCACTCCCGTTTTACTTTTTCCGAATGCTTCCGGCTACGTGTACGTGTGCGTTGCCCCGACGCGACGCGACGCACGGGTGCGACGACTGAAGGAGATGGACGGTCGTTGGCACGTTGGCAGCGGCGAGCGCGCGCGAAGGGATGCCGGTAAGCGTGCCGCCGTCGCCGATTTCTTGGAATTCCAGCCGAATTTCGGAGAAGAGGCCCGGCCGGCCGACCAATCGGAGCCCGTCCAGCCAGGCGACGATTCACTCGAACAAGGTTTTTCTTAACCCCCGGCGAAACCACGCGCGCGAGACCGCGTCCTTGCTCCGGCTTTCTCTCGCTCGCCGCGAGCCGGCTCGCTCGCGCTCTCTCCCTCTCTCTCTCTTTCTCTCTCTCTCTCTCTCGCAACGCTCGCCTAAGTTCTCTTTCCCTTTCGCCTCTCCCCACCGGCCCCTCCCCCCTTTCGCCGAAGGTGCCGGCACCGGGGCCCCACCCCCCGCCGTCCGTCACCCTCTCGCGCGCTCCCGCCGTCTCCCTTCTCCCCGTCCCCTTATTCCGCCGGCTAAACCAACCAACACCTTTGCCGAGCGAACGCGAGCAAAAAATTGTTTTCGCCAACGCGCTCGTCTACACGCGATCACGTACGTGACTAATGCCGTGTGTCAACTGTGCTTCGCCCGAACAAATAATGCATTCGCGATCGTCGGGCAAGGTCAGCGTTCCAATTTCGAGGCGACTGTGTATCCCCGAGCGAGCACGAAAATTCGCTTCGTTTTCCTGCTTCCTGTTGTGTCCAGCGCGCGCGCTCGCTCGCTCGCTCGCCCGTACAGAGTCCGCGCGATTATCCGCACGGAAACGTTCGTATTCCCAGCCGCGAAGAGAGAGAGAGAGAGAGAGAGAGAGAGGCGGGTTCCCCGGCGCCGCGTAAAACGCGCGGGATCCCGAGCAGAGAGTCGTCGTATCGCGCGGCGAGCAATCGCGAAGCGATTTACAAACCTTGACGATCCACGGGTTTATTATGTCCACGCCGGATCGATCGCGCGAGACGATCGAGAACGGACCGAGACGACGTCGACGAGGTGAAACGACGCGACGTCCGCACGAAAGTAAAATTCGCCACCTGCTTCTTCCGGCAACCGTTACCTCGACACGGTCGCGAGACACGGCCGCGAGACACTGCTCGATGCCCGATGAGACTCGGCCGGCTTATCCTTTCGTCTAATATCCTTTTCGTCCGTTGCTCGGATTTCGGTTTCCGGCGAACGATCGCCGCCGATTTCGGCCGATCCGCGCCGATTCCGCCGAGCCGAGCGAGTTCGCTCGTCGGTCGAATCGACGCGAAACGCCGCCTATTCTTATCGTCTGTTTCTGCCGCTGTTCCAGAGGGACACACCGCGAAAATCCCTCCCGCCTATGGAGCCCCCTCCCCCTCGCTCTGCTTCCCCGCCGCCGTACCCGCGGCGTCCATGTCCTCGGGCGCACCGTTCACCTTATCTCGCTCATTTTCCAACGGCGCGGGAGGCCGCGCTTTCACGCCTGTCGCGACTTTCGCTCGCGGTCCTTGCTTTCCGGCCTTCCCCCTCTCCCTCCTTCGCCGCCGCCGCTCGCGCCGCAACAGCCGACAACTCCTGTTTCGAATAGGCAAACAGCCGGACAGAGCCGCTCGTTGGAACGCGCAGCGGCTCGAATCGATGCGCGTGCCTCGGCGAGAAACGCTTTTCCACGTATCTTTGCAGGAAACAACGGCTTCCCTTTGCCGAGGTTAATTTTAGTACGGTGGAATTGATTGTTGACCGATTGTTGGCCGTGGGACGGTACACCGTGAGACGAATTATTGCGCTGCGATTCTGTTTTCCTCGCTTTCGTATCGTTCCCAGCGATGATCGGGCGAGCTTCGGTTTTCACGGGTCCCGGGAAAATCGGTCAGCTTTTTCGAACAACGAACGACATGCGTTGGGTAATTCTTTCGGGATTCGACTGATATTCTGGGAACATGGAACTAATGTGGAGGCTCTTCGGCAATCTGTCGTTCGAAGAAAGTTTATTCACCGTTGAAAATCAAGGGAATAACGTAACGTCCGCAGGAATGGTATGCTGTGGACAATTTAAAAATAGCGTCGCTCGTGACAAGTGGCGGTCACTCGTGGCTTTCTTTGGAACTAAGGTTAAGGGGGGTCCGTACAGCGCCAAAGAGCGCAGTGAGAAAACGCCCAAACCAGTGGGCAATTTTACCGACGGATCGAAAATCTCGGGAAACGCTGACTGGCGCCATCTGTTGTTTGGAGAATGTCGGTGATCCGGCTACCGGCTTGAGCATTTCGCCGCTACGTCCGATGGCGCTGTTTTTCGATTATTAACGGGTTTCTATGTAAGTAAATTAATTAATTTTGACGTTTGAATTCGCGCTTATAATTTAATTTACTTTTTAATCATTTTTCTAAGTATTGAGATCTAAGTATTGCGAACTGAAGCTCTCGCCTTTGTTGTCACCGAAGATTTATTAATTTATATATATATATATATATATATATATATTATTATATAATTATATAATATTATATATTATATTATTTATTATATAATAATAATATAATATAATATTATATATTATATTATTATATAATTCTAAACTATGTTTATAAATGGACAAAGCTTGATTGTTTGAAATTATCGTTAAAATAGACGATTAACAGAATTCGTACGGTAAAAATATAGAACTATTTACGTCTGCTATTTTCGAGAACGGTTTCAGCGTTTTGCTGCTACGTGTTTTGGCGCTGAACGCGATCCCTGAACTGTAGTTCAAAATTTCGCCAGAAGCGACGCCAGTTGTCACAAAAAATGGTTGTATTTTATCCGAGTGTATAACTGTGCTGAAACTCTAGGAAAAAGGAAGCTACTGCATCGAACGTATGTTGCTGCCATTCTGTGCGAATAAATATTGTGCTCGATAAACGTTTTCAAAGAGGCGTCAGTGTGTAACGAGACCCTTACACAGGCTAAGAATATAAGACGTACTTACCGATCATCCCAAATCGAGTCAAACACCAATGAATGCTCGCGATAGATGAATCTGTCAGCTGGTTTCCCTGTACAGAAACAATGCTTCAAACTCTTCGCGAGCGATCGCAAAAGCGCAAGAAGCTTCTGGCGCAAACGGTGAGCAAAAGGAATCGTTATATCGTGCGCGACGTTTACGAGGTTATGGTTCCCACTTCCTCCTTGGAGCAGCGGTGTGCAGTGGAAATTTTCAAAATTATTCGACATTATTTCTCTTTTGCAGCTTGGTGTTTCGAGCGTCGACGAGTTGCGTCAGATTTTGGGCACAGACGTCGACGAGTCGCAGAGGAAACGGGGGAAATCGGTGTCCGAGAGGTCCGTGAATGGCGGGAAAGATTCAAAGAACGACGCAGCTCCGACGGACGAGATCGTTTATAAAGACTCTTCGACGTTTCTCAAGGTTATATATCCACAATTTTAATTAACCTTTTAGGCACGAAACGCCACTATAGTGGCTTGCTCTAGTAGCTCACTCGCTCATCGTTTGAATCAAATAATCGTCTTCATACGCATTGTTTCACACTTCTTTTGTTTTCGCATCGATTTACAACAGTCTACAGAGTGACCCAAAAATGTATCGGAATCCGGAAATGGCGGGTTCCTCGAGTCATTTGAAGCAACTTTTTCCTTTACAAAAATGTTCTCCGAGGCATCGTTAACGAATTATCAACGAAAAACAGTGGCCAATAAGAATCGAGTACGGCTGACGCGTGGCGGCCCAGCCAACCAGCGCGTGAAGCCCAGTTCCGCTCATTGGCTCGGTCGCCTCGCGCCAGCCGAGCTCGCCTCTCATTGGTCACTGTTTTTCGTTAATAACTCGTTAACGGTGCCTCGGAGAAAATTTTTGTAAAGGAAAAAGTTGCTTCAAATGACTCGAGGAACGCGTCACTTTCGGATTGCGAGACATTTTTGGGACATCCTGTATATACAGTATCAGACTCTGCCGTCCAGAGAAATAGCCTCGCGCAGAATTCAGCCGTACCTAAAAGGTTAAAACCGATGTTCTTGCCATACAGTGCTGGACTTGAATCGATGCGATTAGTAAGGCGTAAAAATTGAATTCAGGGCACACAGTCGTCGAATCCTCACAACGACTATTGTCAACACTTCATCGACACGGGTCAGCGGCCACAAAACTTCATCCGAGACGTGGGCCTTGCGGATAGGTTCGAAGAATACCCGAAGTTGCGCGAGCTGATCAAATTGAAGGATGACCTAATATCAGAAACCGCGACTCCGCCGATGTACCTGAAAACAGACTTGCTCTCGTACAATCTGAAAGAGCTCAACTGCAAATTCGACGTGATACTGATCGAACCCCCGCTGGAGGAGTATCAGCGCACGTGTGGCGCGACCAACGTTCAGCTGTGGAATTGGGATCAGGTGCGGTGAATCAAAGAAAGGTCTTGCTTAAAAAATAGCTTCTATGAAAATTGATGAATAACCGTTTTCACAGATCATGGAGCTGGATATCGGTGAAGTGGCGGCGAATCGGAGCTTCGTGTTTCTCTGGTGCGGTAGCAGCGACGGCCTGGACATGGGACGCTTCTGTCTCCGCAAGTGGGGCTTCAGACGGTGCGAAGACATCTGTTGGATTCGCACCAACATCGACAATCCAGGTCACAGCAAGAACTTGGACAGCAAAGCCGTGCTCCAGAGGACCAAGGAACACTGTCTGATGGGAATCAAGGGAACAGTTCGACGATCCACAGACGGGGACTTTATCCATGCGAACGTGGATATTGACTTGATCATATCGGAAGAGCCTGAATACGGCTCCATAGAGAAACCTGTCGAAATCTTTCACATAATCGAGCACTTCTGCCTCGGCAGGCGACGGTAAGGCTCTACGGCGAATTCCGCGTCGACTTTAACTCTCTGTAACAGAATTTTTCTCAAGTCCAACTAAAAAGTATACAGTATCTTTGCGAGAAAGTGAACTAAGACCGTCCACGACGACCGCGACTTCGAAGTTGCATATTATTATAGAGGGTTAGTACTTATATCAGCAAAAATAGATTATAACAAGGGACGCTGGTCGCTACTCCGACTTTGAGGGGTTTCGTGACAATGTTCTGACTCGATCGCTGTCTTCGTTGAGAGTGAGCGGTAC